TTTCAACTAGGACACTACCATACAATCCTTTTCTAAGTAGTATTCTATATACTATTTTTATTCCTATTACTATTCTAAGTATGATGGTATATATTATTGTTGTTCATATTCCTATTCTAACAGTAATAATTTGGCATATGGAATGTAGGCAATTATTTTTTAATATGACATGGCATGCAAAATAATGTGTTTTTTTAGAATCACATAACAATAATCAAGTGACTTTATTATTCCAAAAAAAGAGACCTTGATAGATCATTTCCATATTAGGTGAATAAAAAAAAAAAAAGGATTTGGTAACAAAAAACAAGAAGGTTAAATGAAATTAAAAAAAAAGAGTAAGAAGTAACTTAAGATATTTCAGTTTGCCAAAAATAAGCATATTAGGATAGTATATGAGAAAAAAAAACAGTTTTATTCGAATTGAGTTTCGAATTGGTTAACAAACTCAGTTCTCATTCCAATTTCATATCAAGTGAAAAGGTCAATATAAACTAAAGAGATAACGATTGTCCCATCTTTACACACATGTAGTCAGGTTAGAAAGGGGGTTGAATTGACATAGAAACTGGGCTAAGTTGGGTATTATGTTAAAATGGGTTGTAATTATACAGGTTAAGACGCAGCACATTATTAAATTATCTTGAGCTCAACCCATAAATTTTGGGCTCCTAATATCTTAGCTTCATTTGACACCTCCAAGCAAGGAGTGCCACGCACGAGCAGAGCAAAAAGCAAGGGGAATTCTTCTCTTCTTTTGGGGAGAAATCATTTGATTACGTATTGAATACATTGAGCACATTCCAACAAATTCAAATTTTAGAAGTTTCATAATATGGTGACTATATTTTAGCTTGCCGTCAATTACCCCAACCTTCTTCCTTTATCTAGATGTGGGACGAACACGGTAAAGCTCACATAGACCGAGTTAGGTAAAATATTTATCTGTGGAGTAAAATATTACCCCTGTTCCATTTTGTGTGACGTATTGAAAAATATCTGTGGTTAAATTGACTAATTTTCTGAGTGAATTTGAACATTGAATATTCATTTAAAAAAAAAAAAAGTTTTACATCTTTAAAAACTATATAAAAAGTATTGTAAGTCACAATAGTTTACAATTCAAAATATTAAAGAAGTATTTAAAAAAACATGGTCAAAGAAAAACTTATTTTACACTTCAGATAGTTATAGGGTTACATAAAGTGGAGCAAAATACTCTTGTAAGTACTCTTTCATCCTTAACCAGAGGTCTTGAGTTTGAGTCCCCCTAGAACAGAGTTCCTTTTGTTAGGGAGCGGGTGGGAACCAAAAAATAAAAGTGGAACAAAGGGAGTACTAAAGTATACTTATGGAAGTTAATTAATAATCTGAAGATAAGGGTTAAAAACATACCTAAACTATCCCATATTTTTTTAGTTTCATGCTTGAACTATTGAGAGTGGGTTTTATACCTAAACTATCACTTATTAGTTTGAGAAACACACATCTTTCTTTTATTACACTCTCATCATGGTGTGTAATACACTCCCTTTTTTATTTAAAAAATTGCTATAATACACTCTACATGGACAAAACATTCCATCTTCACAAAAATTAAATAATTAGTATTAGTTAAAGTTAAATATTAAAGTATTGCTATTTCCCCCCCTCCCCCCCAAAAAAATTTATAAAATAAAATGTAAAATATTTTTCTTACCCAACTCCACCCCTTCTTCTCACCGTACTCCCCCATCCCAAATTTTTAGTTTATTTTTTTAAATAAAAAATTCCCTTCGAATAATAATTTAGATATTATTTTAATTTTTTTTAAAAAAAAAAATTCTACCCTACTCCACATAACTCCCATCTTCCATTTTTTTTTCTCGTTTTGTATTAGATATGTATTTTCTTTTCTAATAAAGTACTTTTTTACTTGCCGCAAGACTTTTTATAAAATAAAACTTTTATTTTTGTTATATTTGGTATGCAAGTAGAAAAGAACGTTTTCCTAAAAATATATGTACACATCTAACAGAAAACGAGAAAACTGTAAAAAATAAATTAGGAGCGGAGGGTTAGATGGGGTGGGGTAGAATTTTATTTTACTTTTTTAAAAAAAATAATATCAAAATTATTTTTAGGGAGTGGGGGAGGGGGTGACGTCTAAATTTTAAAAAATAATAGGATGTGGGGTTGTTGGGGGAGGGGGGGATGAGATGGAGTGGGGTGAGAAATATTTTAAATTTAATTATTTTAAAAATAAAAATATTTTTTAAATATAATTATTTTTAAAAAATATTTTTTTTAAAATATAATTATTTTAAAAAAAATGGTAATACTTTAATCTTTAGTTTTTAGCTAATATTAATAGTTTATTTAATTTTTGTTAAGGTGAAATATTTTATCCATGTGGAATACCATGAGGCAAGGTTTTTTCAAATAAAAGAGAGTGTATTACACACACCACTGAGGTGTGTTTCTCAAACTAATAAATGATAGTTTAGGTATGAAACTCAAAAAAAGGAAATAGTTTAGGTGCGTTTTTGACACTTATCTCTAATCTGAAAGATATTATTAGTTGTACAAGTGTGAAAAAACACTCCAGGATGTTCCCAAGTGACACAAATAGAAAGTGTGGTCGAAATGGGAAATATACCATCAGTTGTCAATGAAGTTGAAATAAAATCATGAGAGAGTTCCAATCCTAGTAGAAGCAAAAAGAAATTAGCCGATTTCTTCCAATTTGTCTAAGTTTCAGCTGACAAGATTACTACCTGGTACCTTTGGGAGGAAGATACATGCACCTAGTGGAATAGTCAAGATACATGCAAGTTGGGTTGAAGGCACCTTATTAGTCTTAGAAGTGTCAAATCAGAATATTTAGTATGATGTATCATCTGAGAACTTCCTGGGGTGTTTTTGAACACTTGTAGAACTAATTCTGTTTTCTAACCATTAGTTAACTCTATCAAAAGAATATCAAGTTGAAGCTAGTTAAGGTGTAGGTAGAATATCTATCAACCAACTTATCTTCATGTAGTTCTATTCAGTTCCATTTGATCCAATATTGTATAATTTACCTTAAAACTAGGAGTCCGATGTGTTCCACACTTTCAGGAATATAAAAGTCTAGCACTGAACCTATTATCAGCTGACAAGTAACAACTCTCTATTTTAAATAGTTGGCATTGCCTACATGGATCATCTATTTATGTTAGGTTATGTTCTTAGTTAAGTTCTACCAGAGATATTGCACGTCCTTTAGGACAACTCATCTCCTTGTAATTTTAGGTGTACTTTGCCTATTTGAAATGATGCTAGGTTGTATTACTTTTATTTCGAAGAGATTTTCGTTGTATATGTATCCACCAAAAGAATAATACGATGAAAAAAAAATGAGAGAGAAAGAAACAGATCTGCTTCCAAGTTGTGACATAATTTTTTTTTGAAAGTCCTGACATAATTTTATCGAAAAGAAAAAGAATATTGAGAGGCCCAGGTGGCACTGAGTTTACTCGCCATTCTTCTCTTCTTTAGACAAGCCTGATAAGGAAAGCTGATTCTTAACAATGTGTTGCGCATCAAAGGTTTTCTTTTGTTCTCCTTCAAAATGCAACTTTACCACATTATCATAGGTAAGGTACTTGTTCATAGTACAATTATTTGGCATATATTGTAGTTACACACGTGCTTGTGTACTTGTTTGTGTTCTATAGCTTCTTTTTTGTCTAGCGATTCTACTGAAATGTTGCTATGACTTTCTAGGCTAGGTTAAATATCACAGAACATGGTGCATCTTTTATTTGGAGCATGAAATTGTGTTTCACTCTTGGTCATGTTATGTGTAAAAGGCATTCTGACATTCATATCAGCTAGTTTGCAGGTTTTTACAGAAAATAGAGCAGAGGCAATGAAACTGCCATAACAACGCCGTTCTAAAAGCAGCATGCCATGCTCTCAAGTATAAGTAGAAGAGCTTGTAGACTGCTATCTTGTTGCTATGTGCCTCAACAAAATGTGAAATCTCTGTCGTGTGTGAAATCGTTTCAGCTACCTAGTGTTCTTTAGTTGAGGCTTCATGCTTGCTTCAATTAGAAGGTGGTTCACCTTGAGATGTATCCTTGTCAATTACATAATTATATGTATTTTATCCATGGGTTTTTCTCTATTGGGAGATTGTTTTTAAGGAAAAGCACACGATTTGTTGTAACAATTTACGCAAGCTATATTTAAAGAACATGGTCAGTCATTTATGATGGCGTGCTTAATTAATCTCAACATATTCTGACTTTCTCCTTTTCAGCTTAAGTTGATACCGAGCCGGATGGCTTCTGTTATGTCAGTAGCAAAGTTGAGCGTATACAAACGAGCATCGTTTTAGATACCCAAATTACTTTCAAGGGTGAAAACATGATTGAAGGACATTTCTTCCTATAGCTCAAAATTTTGAGATTTGGAAGCAACAATATTATCTGTTAAACTTCTTGACATAAGTGACCTTTGAATTCAGTTTTTGGGAATTAGATTTTGAAGAAAAGTTGCATGTTCCAATTACTTTTTGAGAAAATAATGCTTCCTAGTTTATGTTTTTTGTCTGGATTTTACTTTTAGTAAGAACAACTTGGTTTGATATTTGAAGAAAGAAATGCTTTGAGAGAGAGAAAGATAGCTTATTTTCTTGCTAGTGCAATAGTAATAATAACTAGTAAGAGGAGAGAGAGATATGAGGGAGAAGGGGAGTATAGAAAGTAAGAATTTCAATTAGGCCTCCAAAAATATTTAAGGGAATTGCATTACATATATGATATGATGTTTGCCTAGACGAAAAGGATAGAGAAATAAATACTCGTTAAAAGACAAAAACGCATATTCGGCCACCGACTGCAGCAAAATAGCTGTCGGTGAGCGAGTTCCAGTTGGTCACCCCATGTGCCGACATCTTCAATTTTGTTATGGTCATAACTCATAAGTCATAACTCATACATACAACACGTTTAAACCACAATAATTAGGCCATATACAAAATTTATAGCAGTAGTATTTATGCATAAATCAAATGGAGAAAAGTACACTCGAGAATGGTGAAAAGAATTACACAAATAATACAACGTAATGGACTTATCTTATGAAGATAAAAATAATTCACTTTATACATTTACGTACGTACTCGCTGCGAACTAATGTGGACTCCGATCTATTATTATTAATATTTATAAAAAATAAAATAAAAACCACTCGAATCAATCAATGAATTAACCAACATCACAAAAGGAGCTAGCTTAGCACATACTGTAGTAGAGTGAGTAATCCATCAGTTGTTCCTGATTAAGTTGTCATCGAAGTTGTTGGAGTAGTTGTACCGGAAGGTTTGAGGTAGACCCACATTGTTGCCGGATCCGATGAACCTCCGTAGCTCCGACCTTACTTTGTAAAATACGTGCCTCCAGCTGCCCTTGCTGTTGCATCCCAATACGGCTTTCTCTTCTTCATTCATTTCCAGATCGTTGGCAAAGGCGGGCTTCTTGGACATGATCCAGCCCAATCCCCAATCCCACCATTTCCTAATGGAATTGCCCGTGTATTCTCCCATAGAGGACAAGGATTTGGATCGGCGAAATGCCCATGAGGAGGAGGTGGTGGAGGAGTAGAATGAGAGGATGGGTTGTTGTTGACAAGTAGACCTCATCATGCGCATGTTCATCCTTAGAGAGAGAGAAGACAGCCTTTTGCGTACGCCAAGTCCTTCTCCTCTTTCTTCTTCTGTAGGTTGCGACATGGGCAGAGCTTCTTTGCTCTGAAAACTTTGAAGAAGAGAGCTCATATTCTCTGTGCAAGTGTAGGTGAAGAGGAAATCAATTCGTCGGTGAAGAGAAGAACTAAAAACTTTCGGCATATAGTATAGGTAATAGGTAATAGGTAATAATAAACAAGGTGAGTGGTCATCACTCATTCACCGTCACCCGCACATTCCTACGTTTCCATCGACAGCCTGTTATATTCTCCTATTGTTTGTGAGACTCTTTTACCCCTCGCTGGCCCCAGGCTGTAAGGGAATAATTGTATATTCACCAAAGCTAGCTATGGGTTGGACCATGAGTATTATTAACGTTATTGTTTCGTCCGTCGAAAAGGATGAAACATTATTCCAAGTCATTTGCCATTCTCGACTCTCACCCTTCACTGCGGTTTAACACTGATCTTTGACACTAATTGTGTCCCATTTCAACTTCCAACACAGAGACTGTCTTACACCCAAAGTCACAGAGTCACTTGACTGCTACATATACCGGATGATCACATTATGCTACATGAGTCGGAAATAGAATAACTAAGCTATTTTCCTTCATTAATAACTCTCCTGCTCTTATTGTGTCTCAAATTGACAGTCTTAACAAATTGAAAAACCACCTCACCCAGTTGCCAATAACACCATACATACTATCTTGTAGCTTACCAGTTACCACTAAGCGCTAGAACAACTATTAGGTCAAGTTGGCATGCCCTTCACCACATGTTTGCAATAGCAATAGATAATAGGAAACTAACAATCTTAAACCAGCTTCTGCAGTATTCTTACTGGTGATGTCCACTAAAATTTCTTCAATAATTTTAGTTTGTGCCTTGATCTTGCAAGTGATATCAACCAAATAGTTTTACAACATTTTTTGTTGTTGAATGTGCCTATTGTAGGATATAAGTAGTCAATAACTACATCTATTCCAAGACCTCGTTATATTTGAACACGCAATCATAAAGCCTTCCTCCAAGAAACTCAACAACCTCTGGGTGCTTCACCTGAAAACACAAGAAAAAAAGGATCGAGAAGCATGATTATTATAATCATCAGGTGAGATATCCCCACCCTCCAACCGGATTTAGTGATAAGTCCCCTCAGAAAGGGAGTTCTTCCCTTCTTTGTTCCCTGTAGAAGCCAGAAGGTGAAGACGGCCAGGGTTGGGTGGATGGGTTTGGCATGCACATCTATTAATAAGGCATTACCATTCCAATCTTCAGGGAATCACATCTGAATTGAGCATAAAGGTTTGTCTCTATACCACGGCCCTGGCAAAAGAAATCAATGTGATAGCAAAACAAGAGATTTTATGAAAATTACAATTACTTAAATATGCACTTGAAGAATTTGCACGTACAAAGTTGAACAGAAATGTTATTCGTTTTTTATATTGTCAAATGCCTATATGAAAGCAGCCCAGAAGAAAGGTAATTTACAAGTTCCAAGGTACCTGAGGAAGAACTACCACCTCAGTCTTAATCCATGTGAAACGATCCGGTTGTTAAGTCAAATCAGTTGCTAGTCAGGTAATAATTATCTTTTTGAAACCTGAAAATACAGGAAAACTATATGCTACATACACAATACTGCTCCAATCAGAAACTCCAAATTAGGAAGGTAATAAGGGTATGTCAAGTGGAAACCCTTTTGCACTTGCCTAGAGCAAGGATACTTTCACCTGAAAACATATGCATTCACTGAAACACGAGACAGACTGTTGATTTCAGACCGGAGAAACATTAAAAAGTAAAAGAGTGACTGGGTTTTTTGAGAAAAGGTAACTTGTATTAGTAACAAAGGAATACTCAGGACGTATTCAAGTAATACTTACAATCGGAGATACAAAAGTGTTGTTTTCCTATGAACTCATTAAGAATTCTAAGATACTAGGGATATCCTCATCTTCATGAGGATATTCATGTTTACACCAAAAATAGAAAAGAGCTAAACAACTCAGCTGCATCTTCTCCATAGAGCAGCTCTTGTTCTCAAAACATCTCTGATTCCTTTCCAGCCAAATAGTCCACCAAATGCAAGTTGGGACAATCTTCCATCTCTCCCTGTGCACCGACTGATTTCCTTCCCGATTCCAACATGCCAAAGCTTCCTTTATGTTTCCTGACATAGACCAACTGATTCCCCTTATATTGATGAAAATCTGCCAAAGTTTCATTGTCTCCTTACAGTGTAAAAAGAGATTATTTATTGTCTCTGCCTCACATTCACAAAAAAAACATCTAGAGCACAAATGGAGGCCCTTCTTCATACGGTTATCCTACATGAGAACAACCCGTTTTGCTAATAGCCAAGTAAAACAAGCCACCTTGAAGGGCACCTTAATTTTCCAGATCATTTTTCATGGCCAGTAGCTTGGTTGAGTGTGTGTCCTCTGGGAGTTTCTGTAAGCTCCTCCAACTGAGAATCTCCCAAGCCCATAATAGTTTGTTTTCACTGTTATTGAGTTCCTTGCATCATTCCAGGATATTCAGAAATTCAACCATGCTATTCACCTCCCAATCATTTAAAGGTTTCCTGAACCGTAAGTTCCAACCCTGAGCATCTCTCATTTCTTTGACAGTGGCCACTTTCTGTAGACTTAAGCTGAATAGGTCAAGGAAACTAGCTTTGAGTGAAGCCTGTCCCACCCAAACTTCCTCCCAAAACAGAGTTTTTCCACCATCTCCTATCTTAATTATGCACTTGTTTAAAAGTTTGGCCATAGATTCCTAATTGTCCTCCACACTCCGGTGTCATATGGTTGTGTTGCTATGTTGTTGATTCACCTTGTATCCATTTCATATCTGGCCTTAATGGTATCTTTCCACAGCGGTTGTTCTTGTGATGAAAATCTCCACAGCCATTTCATTAGCAAGTTGTGGTTTTGTAATTTCAGATTCCTTGTTCCTAGTCCCCCTTTTTTTTGTTGACAAAGTTCATCCCACTTGACTAAGTGAACCTTGTGCTTATTAGGATTACAGTTTCCTTGCCAAAGAAAATTTCTTCTAATGCCATCTAATCTCTCTTACACTTGCTGGCATAGGGTACACAGACATCATGTAGGTAGGCAAAGCATCAAGAACACTGTTGATGAGAGTAACTCTGCCACCTAGGGATAAATACTGACTTTTCCAGTTGGCAAGCTTCTTCTCGCATTTCTCTAGTACATTATTCTATATGCCTTTTGATTTGATCTTATCTCCCAGAGGCATTCCCAAATATATTGTGGGCAGCTCCCATATCTTTCATCCCAAAATATTTGCCTAACTGTCAATCCTAGGTACCTCATTCACTGGATAGATGAAACTTTTGCCCCAATTGATGTGTAGACTTGAGGTTGCTTCAAACAATTTCAGTATTATTCTTAAAAACTTCAGTTGGCTGATGTCTGCATCACAAAATATTAGAGTGTCATCTGCATATTGGAGATGTGAGATGGCTAGACTCTGTCTATCCTCCATGTGTTTGTTTGGGCTGTTCTTAGCATATCATTGAGACCCTCCATTGCCCAGAGAAAGAGAAAAGAAGATAATGGATCCCCTTGTCTCAGGCCTCTCTCAGATGAGAAGAAACTTGTGGGAGAGTCATTAATCAAAACTGAAAATTTCACTATAATGGTGCAAGATTTGATCCTGTTTATCCATCTTTCCCCAAATCCCATGTTTTCCAAAGTCTTCCATAGGAAACCCCAATTTAAGTGGTCATAGGCTTTCTCTATATCCAGCTTACAAAGAATGTCTGGGACCTTGCTAATTTGCCTCACATCTACACATTCGTTGGCAATCACAATAGCATCCATGATCTTCCTGCCCTTAATAAATTCCATCAGATGTGTATCTACTAGTTTTGAAACGACTTTTTTCAGCCTCTCAGTGAACACTTTGAGATGATCTTATATATGCTACCTATTAAGCTATGAAGGTGGGCATTGAAGCTTCTTTCAAAAATGTTCTGAACTGCTGCCACTACTTTGCTTACTATTTCCCAACAATTGGTGAAAAATGTCATGGTGAATCCATCCGGTCCAGGTGCCTTGTTATGCGCACATGCCATCACACATTCTTTGATCTCAGCCTCACTAAATTGACTTTGTATCATTAAATTGTCTTCTTCACTAATAACCGCACCTCATCTATGGTCAGGGAAGGATCTATGAAGGCTCGTGGGGGTGCCATGCGGCCATGCCACCCACAAGCTCTGACGAAAACACACACACACACTCTCTCTCTCTCTCTCTCTCTATATATATATATATTATATATATATATATAACATATAAATAACTAACGTGCCACCCAGTGGAACAAAGTACTATGTGGTGCCAGTGGCATAGGATCAAACATTGTCCGCGGAGGTCGCGGGATCGAATCATGTTGCCTGCTTTCTTTTCGTCAACACATCCACTATATCCCTTTGATTCCTAACTCAAGACCACCCAACATCCGTCCGTATCGTTATCCGTATTTCCAAAAATCAGAAAATGAAAAATAAGTTTCTGAATCACTCCAGAAGGGTTTTATAAGGTGAAGTACGAGTCCGTTTGCTAGCCCTGTCCTTCTCGTCAAGAAAAAGGACAATACATGGCGTATGTGCATTGATTATAGAGGTCTCAACCAAATCACTATTCCAGATAAGTACCCAATTCCAAATATTGACGAGCTTCTTGACGAATTGCATGGAACAACTATTTTTCGAAGATTGATTTTCATTCTGGTTACCACTAGATACGTGTTGATCTAGCCGACATTCATAAAATTGCTTTTCGTACTCACTCTGGTCATTATGAGTTCACTGTTGTGCCCTTTGGTCTCACTAATGCTCCTTCGACTTTCCAATGTGCTATGAATGATTTGTTCCGATCACACCTACATAAATTCATTCTTGTATTCTTTGACGACATCTTGGTATACAGACTGTTGAGCAACATATCAATCACTTAGAACTTGCTCTCCAACTTCTGAGAGATAACTATTTCTATGCCAAAACTTCTAAATGCTCATTTGGGCAAATCCACATTTCATTTTTGGGTCACGTGATTTCAAAAAAAAAAAGGGTTGGTGTTGATTGGGATAAAGTTCAAGTTGTCTTGGAGTGGCCAGTACCAATTAATGTGAAGGAGTTACGTGGATTTCTTGGGTTAACAGGTTATTATCGCAGATTTGTGAAGGGTTATGGAATGATGGCTCGACCACTCATGAACTTACCAAGAAAAATGCTTTTCAATGGTGGAACTCAGCTGAGAATGCTTTCCAACTTCTAAAGCAAGCCCTAACAATTGTTCCGGTACTACAACTTTCAGATTTCACTCAACTATTTGTTGTGCTTCAGAAGGAATAGGGGCTATTCTTCTTCAGGATGACCATCCTATTGCTTATTTTAGTAAGGGACTTTCTTTTTCCAGTCGTTTGAAATCTACTTATGACCGCGAATTGCTTGCTCTTGTTTAACTTTGCAGAAATGGAAACACTACCTCCCGGGCCATCATTTTTATGTCCGAACAGATCATTGCAGCCTCAAGTATCTTCTTTCCCGGCGTATTACTACTAATGAGCAGCAAAGATTATTTATAAAATTGCTTCCCTTCGACTTCACAATTGTTTACAAAGCTGGAAAAGACAATTTGGGAGTTGATTCTCTTTCAAGGAGGCCATTAAATGCTGAATTTCTGGCTCTTGCTATTCCTGTGCCAATGGATTTTTCCAATTGGCAAAATACTCTCCAAGTAGATACATATACTCATGAGAATTGAGATTATTCAAGCCATTCACCATGATCCTTCCTTACAACCAGATTTTCATCTTGTGGATCAGAAACTTTATTTCAAGTAAAGGTTGGTCGTTCTGGATCAATCGTCTATTCGACAAAAGCTTCTCTCAGAGTCTCACGACACACCTTCTGCCAAGCATGGAGGATATTTGAAAACCTTGAAGCGCCTTTCCTCCAACTTTTCCTGGCCAAGGATGTAGCATGATGTTAAGATCTTTGTTCAGAACTGTTTGGTTTGTCAACAAGCCAAATACCAAGCTCTAGCACCTGCTGGACTTCTACAACCCTTGCCTATACCTAATAGAATTTGGGAAGATGTCTCACTTGACTTCATTGTAGGACTTCCCAAATCGGGTGGTTTTGATACAATTTTGGTAGATTGTTGCTAAGGTTTTCTGCAAAGAAATTGTGCGTATTCACGGCATTCCTCGGTCAATCCTATCTGATCGGGATGTTATCTTTCTCAGTGCTTTGTGGCAGGAGCTTTTTCAACTTAGCCAGACAAGGCTAAGAATGGGTACATCTTACCATCCACAATCTAATGGACAAGCAGAGGTGGTTAACAAATGCTTGGAATCGTATTTACGATGCTTTGTTATGGAGCAGCCTCGTACATGGAGTCAGTTTCTACCATGGGCAGAGTTTTCTTTTAACACGGGCTTCCACTCATCCACATAAACTACCCCATTCAAGGTTGTTTATCGTAGGGACCCTCCATCCATTTCTCCTTTTGTTCATGGAGAAACCCGCATTGCTGAACTTGAAGAACAACTTTTGAATCATGATGCCATGCTGAAAATTCTCAAGGATAACCTTTTAAAGGCTCAAACTCGAATGAAACAACAAGCTAATTCTCATCGTTGAGATGTTACCTTTCAAGTTGGAGATTCTGTCTTTCTACGTGTTTAGCCTTACCGTCAACGTTCTTTGGCTCATTGCAGGTGCGAAAAATTGTCACCTCGATTTTTTGGACCATATAAAATTGCACGATGTAGCTTATGAACTGGAGCTTCCTGCTTCCTCCAAAGTACATCCGATTTTTCATGTATCTTTGCTCCGTCCAGCTCATGGTCAACAAGTTGTTATACAACCAGCCCCTCCTCCTCTTGCACAATATCTCCTGCCAAGATTCTTGCACATCGATGGGTCAAAGAAGCTGATTCTTCTTTTTTGGAACTGCTCGTTCACTTGGTTGACCGTCCGCTTGAAGAAGCTAGTTGGGAAAACTATGATCTCATTGCAGATCAGTTTCCTACTTTTCAGGGAGGATGCACTGATACAAATGCTCCTTTAAGGACTTACTCTAGAAGAAAGTATAGGCGAGCAGCATGTGGAGATAATCTTAGTTTATCTGTCTTAAGTTTCTTTGTTTTAAATAGGATAAAATAATAAGCAGGAATTATTTATAGTAGTTATAAGTAGAAGTTATTACCAGCAGCAGTAATCTACAGCAGTAACTGTTTCTATCTCTATCCATTAGGAGTTATCTTTATGTTTATTATAAATACTAGTTTTTTTGACAGTGTATTTTAGGAGAATTCTGCAGAAGAAATATATTATTATTGTCTTTGAATCTGGAGATTTGTCCACTCCATACGGACATTGTTTATTGGTTAATGCAGTGTTTAAGATTCTTGCACTTCATTTAACCAGTAAAGTTTCATTTTCATCTCGTTTCATTTTAGTTTCTATCAGATTCCCACCAACATAAGCATCATCGCCAGTCCTATGCCTAAAACTTTTTTTGAGTATTGGTAACAAAGTCCTATGCCTAAATCTTACTGCATGCCCTCAATAAATAGCCAATTGCAACCAATATTTTCTTCCATTTGAACTGATTTTAATAATCCTTCTAGTTGCTTTAATTGGTGCAATTGTTGTAGCTCGTCCATAAAATTTTTTCTATTAAAACATGGAACCTGGTGCAACAGCAAGCACCAGTTTAACTTGGGAGGTGGTGATTTAGTAGGGGTATTATCTCAATTCCAATAAAAATGCAATCGCGTAAAGTATGACTTGGTGATCAGAACATATGTGGATAGACATTATGACGTATATTACTGATGGTATTAAGATATGAAACAAAAGCTGTAGTTACAGTAACAAAGCATTGACAGCAAAAGACTCACCATGCCTTCCAGAATGACAAGGTCAGCATCGCTTGCCAAGTAGGCAAGCTCTTGTGATATTCCCGTAAGATCAATAACCTGTCGTCACAGTGAAGTAAGACTGTCAATTAAGGTGGAGCATCCAGATATATTCATAAGTTCTGGAGATAGTACCATTTTTTGGCAAATAAGTAACTCTACTTTTATTTTGTTAACTTATGACGCATTGAATATTCGTGAACATAAAATTTTGGGGATTTAACTAAATGCTGGCATCAGACTTCAATTTACTTCATAAGAATTTGTGAAAGGGATAGCTGCTCAAATAATAGCTTGAGCGAAGATTAACAAGCTAGAAAGTAGAAATTTTGTGAGGCCAATGCTCGACTCTCGTCAAAAACCTCAATTTAGAGGGGCTATCTAAAGTTTAGAAGTCACAGGATTCCACCCTTTCTAAAAATTTTGAAGTGGAGGTAATGGGTGGGTGGACTGGGGACAGTGCATCATGCAAATGAAGTAGATAAGTGACTGCCCCTTACTGGTAAATCATTTCCAGAATTCGCAACTAAAAGGTTGGATGTGTCCACACCTACAAGCTTCCCCTGCTCATCTTTTAACTGTTAATAAGCAAAAATACATGTTCATTAAACCTAAAGTAGGTAAAATTGAAAGCATCTACCACCTCAAATAAAGTAGGTAAATTTGAATAACATTTCTACCACCTTAGATATTATCTCTACCAACTCAGGGTAAGTAACATCGTTAATAGAAGGCAAGTCATTAGCTGCCAAAATAACCTGCAAAGACAAAAAAAAATTGCCAATGTCATTACAAGGAGAGCTTAATTGAGTTGTGAGCACTCAAATACAGCCAATGTCTAATCCAATCTGACGCACCTTCATATAATTATCAAGTCTATGAATATGAAAACTGCTAACTTATGATGAAGCTTTATTCATACTTAAAATCTGGTTTATTGAATTTTTAACTATATGGCTATAGTCTCAGAGTTTGTGTCCAGTAACTTCTTAGCCTCATTGGATTGAGGGAATAGAAATAAGACAATAATGATAGCCTCAAGGCGCCAAATTTCTTTTTTCTTTATAAACATTTGGAATACTAAACACCTATGAGATTATTATAGATAATTGGATACTCTATTACTCTTCGTAGGTAATTGCATTTTTGCGTAGATTCTCTACTTTATGATAAACCACTTGTACGAGGCACTCCCTAAATTTATCAATACAAATTATTACCTTATGAAGAAGAAAAAAAGTGCCACAAGTACAATTCAGGCATAAGAGAATCACAGAACACCTATTCACCTAATGTTGTACTGAAAAATAAACCACATCCATTTGACTGAATGCAGCTAAGAAAAGAGCATTAGAAGAGGATAAATTAACTCTCTTAGATACAGAAAACAGCATGTTAAAATATTTAGTGTTGTTAACTATAATTAATATCTACAGAACTGAGCATATTAAAGATGCCTGTAAAATGGTAACTTTACTACTATAAAAAAAATGCCTATAAAATGGCATTTTAAATTTGCAATGTAGTCAAAATATATTATGTAATCTATCTTTTCTTTTTCAGTTTAGTGAACAGTGAACTCTAGAAAATTTCCATTTTATGTGCAAGAGAGAAACAAGACTCCCAAGTAACCTGTGTCCCATGACGAAGTAATTCTCTCGTAAATGGCAGAATGCCCAGAATAATATCTGCACCAGAATTATCCACAAAGATTACAGCCTGTATAGGAGTAAGCAAGTCAGTGAACCAGCATACATCAAACGCATGGGCGGAGCCAGGAATTTCACAAAGGGTGTCCAGAAATAGCACAATAAAAGCTCTTTTCAAAAAGTAGAACTAGTGAGATTCGAACACACAATCACTGACCACGTGAACCAGCATACATCAAACGCATGGGCGGAGCCAGGAATTTCACAAAGGGTGTCCAGAAATAGCACAATAAAAGCTCTTTTCAAAAAGTAGAACTAGTGAGATTCGAACACACAAGCACTTCCACTTTCCAAGGAGGTGAAGCCACTGGGTTATAACAGCTTGTTATGTTAAGGGTGTCTAAAATATGTTATTTAATCATTTTGTGTATCATTTTACTTGTATATACAATATTTTTTTCCGACGAAGGGTGTCCAATTGGACACCCTGACCACCATGTGGCTACGCCACTGAATTCAAACGCATCGGATATTTGTCATAAACAAGTAAAACATAAAGCCCAGTGGAGAAGATAAGTTTCACATATGGTTAACTACTAGCCTTTTTCCATGATTTCCTGCTCCATTTTGTTATGAAAGAATATTTGTCATAAACAAATAAAAACATAAAGCCCAGTGGAAAAGATAACTTTCACATTTGGTTAACTACTAACCTTTTTCCATGATTCTCTGCTCCATTTTGTTATGAAAGTATCCAAGTCATCAATAACCCAAGGTCGAGGAACGAGGTTTTGGCAACTAGCTAAAAAAGAAATGCCATCCCTTGAAAATAGCTCCGCAAGCTTCAAAAAATTATTCATTAAGAACAATTGATTCAACCTTGAAAATGTTCATTTTCTAAAGGCTAGTTGTGATTTAAGCAAGATTAAGGGTATCAATCTATCAACTTGGAAAGATTTTTAGCATGTGGAAGAGTCTGAATAGATTCTATTAACTCCGGAAGTAAAACTCTTCACAGACTTGGATTAAGTATGCATTTGTGTGCATCAACTTCTACTCTTTCAAGGAGTGCATTTTGAAATCAGTTTGAATTATCAGTTTGCGATGGTTTCTTTGGTCCTGTGATTAATTGTTTGATTGTGTAGCTAACAATTAAGTTCTATCTACTATCTAATAAACATACTTGGGAGTTGGGAAAGATGTTGTCTTAGAGAAAGGATAACAAGAGTGAGATCTAATTCCCTAAAGGTAGGACAAGGATTTGCGACTAGGATAGGAATATACCTAGCTGCCGCATTCAATTAAATGTCTTAAACATTATGCATTCTTGAGAGATCAATTCTATAGGAATAAAGGCGATGATCTATTTTGAATAGGCGAGTAGTAATGCGGGAGAATCTACTAGTATTAATGATCCGGTAATTAGCAATCATCAATAATTCAGATTAGGAGGAAGTATTTTGATACCTCAATAGGATTGGTGACCCAACCACAACCCTGGAATGCTCATCTCTCTATGTAAATTCTAAAGTGTGAAATCACGTCATAGATTACTTGTTAGCATAAATAATCTAGTTTTAATTTTTGTAGTAGTTTATAATCAAATCAACTGTGGGAAAAAATACTTGTTTAATTAATTAGTAATAGTGAAGTCTAATCGAGTCACTATATTACTAGGCAACCATGTGCGCCTGCGTATGCCTTTGGGAGCAACACAAGTGGTCACCATAATACTCAAAATATTTAGAAAGGCCCCAAATTGGTTAATGGAAAGAGTACTATATTTAGTTTTTTTATCAAGAATAGCATTATATTTAGTTTGCATCACTCGGTTCACTGTCATTGCATATAATACAAATATAAAACATGGCCAAACTCGTGATGAAGATGAACTGACTCTTTGTGATAGTGGTGAATAAATCAGTGATCACTTGCTCTTGCCACATTCCTATTGAGGTTAAATTAGCTTTAAAATGTCTTCTTTCAAGATGAACCCAATGACACAAAGCACATGTTATAATAAACACAAAATTAGTTCTTAAATTACGCGCTTTTGAGAAGCTCTTGCCACATAATTTTTTAGTTCTTTTTTAATCCAGACCCTCCTTCGAACACCACGCACAGAAGAAACTTAGTGCACCGAGCTCCCCGCACCACCACCCACGACAATGGTATATGAGTACTCTTGCCATATAATCAAAGGCACAAATCTTATATGCATACATTTCTTTGTTGAGGGAGGAGTCATCGAATAAAGGGCATGGCATACCTCGGCATAGTCATGGCAAGACAGAGGTACAATTTAATGTTAAGTACATATATATTTCTTTATATATGAGTCATCTATGAAACATTACCTACCTGTGCCGAGCCAAGATCAAATAGGTTTCCTGCAAAAATCCCTTTGACCAAGTTCTCCATACGCTTAGCTTCATCCTCAATAGCATCATTTAGATGTACTACATCCTCAAATAAGGATATAGCCTTTGCATTTTCTTCGTCCTAGTTGATTTACATAAGCCCAACAACAAAAAAGAGTCAAATCTTCTACATTTTGGTTCACGTGGGATAACAGGTTAAAAAACAACAAAATGATTTTCAAATGAGCAATGAGCTTATTAATTTGACCTAAAAGTTGATCAGCAAAAATTCTCACAGGAAAATTGGGATTGCTTATTTGAACAATAAGGGATGCTCACATCAACAATAGAGACCAAAGTGTGTGTTTGCATAGTCATGCATGAAGTACTGGTTTATGGACAGAGATACTTTCCTTAAAAACAATATCTAAATAATGTTTGGTTATAAATTGGAACAATTTTTGTTTATTTTTTTTTTTGCAGTTAACTTTCTCAAAAAAAAATTGGAACAATTTTTTGGTTAGTTTTTGAAGATGCGTTTGTGTGTTTGGAAAACTGATTTGACCTCTTTTTCAGTGAATTTTTTTATTCCCACTCACAAAAACTCCAAACTCTTTTTCAAGTGAAATACATGTTCAAACAAAACTTTAACTTCCAGATACCATTTTTCAACTTCAAAATGTTTTTTTTTTTTTTTAAGTTTCAAACGTAGATGATACATGTTTTTTTATGATTGCGATAGATTTCATCTTTATTAAAGTTCTTTATATCTTTGTTGTTCATTGAGAACTTCCAATTCTAAGAAATGATGAATAAGTCAACCTGAGCACTCACCTTAACTTTTTTAAATATATCTCTGAATCCCAATTCCCTAAGCACTTGCTCCCTAAGGCGACAAAGAAGCTAAAAAGTGTACATAGAAGGAAACAGGTTAGCAAGATAGAGAAAGGACACATAAATGATGGATCCATTCTATATTAAAATGGTTAAGACTTACAATGCCATCAGGAGGCCCTCCGTGACTTTTAGGATCTTTCTTCAAATCCTCGAGTATTTCAGTGTACCTATGAACATCTTACTATAAATCTCCTTAAATACACAAACAGCCTATTCCATAAGGAAGGTTATGCTTTAGTTTGATGAAAAAAGAGACGAAGACATGGATGGGTGAGAGTTAATTCCCTTACTGAATAGAGTAAAGAGAAAACAGGAACAAAAATGTTACCTGTGAGCAAACTTTTCGGCTCGAGAAAGAGCATCTGGAACAGTGTCATCGCTCTCGGCCCTCTTCCTGAAGTTAATTTAAAATATTTCCACAAACCAACCAAAAAAAAAAAAAAAAAAAAAAAAAGAAGGAAAAAAGGAGAAAAATGAAGATATTTCCACAAACCAACCAAAAAAAAAAAAAAAAAAAAAAAAAGTGAAGGAGAGAAGTAGAGAATTGACGAAGCACCTAAAAGAAGGGATGGAATTCATGAAGACGTGGATCCAGGAAAGCTCAGTGGGCGTTGGTTTAGTGGGATTGTTGGAAGGAAACCTGTAAGGGATGGTACATGCCCGGTAATTGCAAGTCATCAGCAACGGAAAAGGCACCAATTCCCCGGAGCTCTCCATTCTCTGCTGCTACCAAATAACCTTTTCTTTTTTTTTTTGGTTCAAAGCTACCAAATAACTTACTTTAACATCTCCAACCAACTCTAATAGAGAATGGATTCTGCAGCCCCTCTTTAATTAACTTTCTAGTTCTCGTCATACTCCCAATTTCACTTTTAGATTTTTTATTTTAATTTTTTTTAATTAACATATTATTTTTAATATAAGGTCATTAATTAAAGAGCAACTTTCACATATAGCAAATACAAAATTCATATTTGTATGTTATAGCAAAGTTTGCATAATTGTGCTCCATAGCAAACATAAATATGTATATTTCGCTATACATATACAAAAGAAAGCAGTTACATAATTTGTTTTGGTATACATATACAAAAAGATCAATTGTCTAAAGTGAGAGAGGCGAGTGAGCGAGATCTGGGAGAGAGGAGAGTGAGCGAGATCTGGGAGAGAGGCGAGCGAGATCTGGGAGAGTGGCGAGCGAGATCTGGGAGAGAGGGGAACGAAAATATATGTATATATACCATTTTCTCTCACTTTATACAAGCACAAACACACTTTATACACTTGTGTTTGTATAAAAAACGAGAGAGGCGAGGGAGAGAACGAGAGTGGCGAGCGAGATTCACCAGAAGAGAGGTGAAATAGCAATAGTTTGCTATGAGGCACAATTAAATCAAACTATATTTATAACATTTAATTTGAATTAATAGTTTGCTATTATATAGAATTTTCCCTTAATTAAATCTCTAATATTTATAATTCTTTTTAAATTTAATATAATAAAAAATATTATTTGATATATATTACTTTCATCCCGAATTAATAATATTTCTTTTTTTTTTTATTTTCATCATTGTGATATAATTTGATATTATTATTAATTTTCACTATAAAGAATGCACAAAAGTAAAATGATAAGATGGAAATTTTAATTTAAAACTATAATACATAACATAATAATTCAAATACAAGATAACAATACAATACATAACATAATAATTTTATCACAACAATAATTTAGTAATTCGGTAGGTCATTTCCAAATTTAACACTATTCGGAAAAAAATTAGTGTTTGATTTGGAGAATTGTTGTGGTTGTGATTGCAGTTGTGCTTGTTGATTTATGTAATTGTATTTCATGAATGATTTCACTTTTATTTGAACTATCCATTAATTTGTATACTATGGTCTGTTTGGAAAAAGTCACCTGGTAATTGTAATTGGTGTAATTACTATGGTAGTAATTACCAAACTCGTAATTATACAGTCTAGTAATTTCACTAGCCTGTTTGATTGCCTCAGTGTAATTACACATGTCATATTTGGATGTCACAGTGTAATTACACATGTTCTGTTTGGATGCACAATTGCAATCAGAAAATTATATTAAATTTTAAAAATAAAAATTAATTATTTAAAATTTATACTAGACAAATAAGAAACTTTATTAAAGATAATAAATTAAATATTTAATATATATATATATAGATATATTATTTTGTGAATATATATTAATTAATAAACACATGTTCTTAACTAATATTCGTATGAAGTTTCTACGAACATCTGAAATGCATGTTTGATAAAAAGATTAATATATAAATAAAATGTCATAAATTATTAAAATGTTTGACAAAAAGATAATCTATCAAGTCTAATTAAAAAATGACTTGCAATGTAAATTCAGTATTACTAAAACAAATGAAACTGAAAATATAGCATAAGTCATAACAAAACAAAAAATTTAACATAATACTCTTATCGCAAATTTCAACATAGCATACATAAATATGATTTTTATTTTTATTTTTTAAAACATAAGTCTATAACGTTACTTAACAATAAAAGGGTTTAAAATACCCTTAAACTATTCGAAATAACTCATATTTACCCTTAAACTATATTTCGACTCAAAACTACCCTTCCCGTCAAACTATTGGGTCAAAAGTGTCTTCTTATTAACGGAAGTTGTTAAATGTCATGTGGATGCCACATTGCACGCCAATAGGGTTCCACTGCCACATTGACTAAAAGGAAAAAGGTCAAAAATACCCTTAAACTATCTGAAATAGCTTATATTTACCCTTAAACTATATTTCGGCTCAAAACTACCCTTTCCGTCAAACTATTGGGTCAAAAGTGTCTTCTTATTAACGGAAGTTGTTAAATGTCATGTGGATGCCACATTGCACGCCAATAGGATTCTACTGCCACATTGCACGCCAATAGGATTCTACTGCCACATAGACTAAATCCTTAAATCTTAATTACTTTTTCCCCCCTCATTTCATTATTTTCTAAAAACGATTTCACCTCTTCTCCCTCATTTCGCGGCTAGGGTTTCACAGTTTTCTTCGTCGCTGGGTTTCAAAGTGGATATTCGTGGTTGTAGATTAGTAAATATTTTTTCTTATTTTATTATGTTTACAACCACGAATATCCACTTTGAAAGACAACTAAAACTCAAACTGTAGGACAGAGAGAAAGAACTCAGCCCTGAAGAAAAGTATGAAACCCTAGCCGCGAAATGAGGGGAAAGTTGTGAAATCCTAACTATCATGCTTTGAAATTGTAAACATAATAAAATACGAAAAAAGATTTACTAACCCACAACCACGAATATCCACTTTGAAAACCAGCCCCGCAAAAAAGCTATGAAACCCTAGCCGCGAAATTAGGGGGAGGGAAGTCATTTTCCTTCAATTCGATGAAAATGAGTTGATTTGAAAAATATTTTGCAAAACATTTAAGCCAACCAAACATGGAAAAAATTGACTCATAGTCCATTATATTTTAAGCCTAAATATATCCCTCTCATTATAATATTTGCACAAATTTACGCTAAATTTTGACGGTGGAAAAGATGATGAGCTCAAAATTAAATGAACCCTGCATTTGATTTTCAGTCCATATATATATATTTCACGTTATATTTTCAACATGATTATGGGTGTGTTTGGTTGGGTTAAATGTTTTGAAAAATGTTTTCCAAATCAACTCATTTCCCTCAAATTTAAGGAAAATGACTTCCCTAATTCAAAACTTAAGGAAAACATTTTTCAAAACTCTCTTCCAACTTCAAATTACAATTACTTTTTTGTTGAAAAAATCTATTTATTTTGTCCCTACCCTCAAACCAGCCCCCCAACTACCCCCAAAAAAAAAAAAGAGTTTGTTTTTAAAAAATATTTTCAACTTCAAAATTTTATTTTTTCACCCCTACACTTGATCCCCC